TAATTAAATCAGCTAAGATAACTCTGTTTGCAAGAATCTCTCTAAAATTAATTCCCAAATCAAGAGTTTAACAAGTGGCACTCCTAATAGCCCAGATTTTAGATTGCTTTGATACCTGGAATTAATATAATTCTTTTAGAAATTTATGACTTGCTGAATCATTAAAAAAACACATTTGAAGTTCAATTAATTCATTTATACCTTACACTCTTCTTTGGAAGGATTTTTGAAGATATCTGCTAACTAAACAGAGGGCAAGGAAGTCATAAATCTTTGAATCAGAGATAAGTGGAAATGAAACAATTTATCCCAAAGTAGGATGTTTAATATGCCTGTTAAAGCTTAAGAGTTAGCATAGTTTCTCCATTTTTGTTAATGTGATATTTATGTGCAAACTGAAAAAAGTAATTAATGCCAAATGTATTAAATTACTTAATTCAACTGGGGGACCTGCGTGGAGTGGCTTTTTCTAAAGACAGGCAAGGCCAAGTAAAGGGTATCATATTTTGAACCTTGAAGACAATAAAGGAGGAAAAAATAGCTAGTCTACAAGTATAAAATAATATCCTTTTACTACAGATTTTGAGATAAATCCTTGATAACTGGAGAACAGTTTAATTATTTCTTAATATCCAGTTATAAGTCAGCTCTAAAAAATAAAGACCTGTGACAGAAAAGGGAGAAAACCAAATCCTGCAAACAGTGGTCATTTTTCCTAATCTGTCTCTTTTTCCTCATCCCTCTCCTCCGTGAGTAATTTTTTAAAGACTTTGTTGGACTAAAGCAATAATCTAACAGGTCTAGTACATTGAGAGAAGACACCACATGTACTAGAGTTACCATGTTTTATATAATTGCATTATGAAGTGGCCAGGAAAATACATAAACACACAATTGAGTGGCAATACCATGGTCAATTCCTAGGACTATAAAATCCAAATTTACTCTGATTGAGAAATCATAGTTGTTTCAAATACAAAAGTATTTAGTATGAATATCTATAAGGGGATACATGCATACGTATGGCAATTAATGCTACCAGGTTACATATATAAAAGATGAAGAATTGATTTGCATACAATTCATTTAATAGATGCTGAATGCTTACTAATGTAAGGCAGATTTTAAAGGTCAGGTTAGGTCTATGGATTTTCGAGCCATAGTGTTCAGGTTTGACTTTCAGCCTCATCACTTGTTAGTCCAGTCATTCCCGGACAATTTAAGTCTGTTGTTCTTGTTTCCATCTACAAAACAGGAATAATGTTTGTATCTACTAAGTTATTTGAAGGATTCAGCAAGAATGATTTAAAGGTAACCTTTATAGATGTGTGGGGCCGTACTACTTTATATGTTCAAAGTTATTAAGTTACATTAGATCAGTAATGAAAATTGTGGTTGCACAGGTCAGTAAGTCACTTTTAACTACAAAGGATTATAACTAATGAATCCAGGAAGGATCAAGGCACACAACAGTAGCAGAAGCAGCCTAAAACAGCACTGTCAAAGTGAGCACTTAGCCTAATGGTTAAGGCTCCAAAGTCCCACACTGGAGTACAATATCCAGCTCTGGCTCCTTTCCCCAGCTCCATACCTATGCAAGCCCCATGACGACAACTGACTCAAGTAATTGGGTTCCTGCCACCTACAAGGGAGGCCTGAATTGTGATTCTAGTTCCTGGCTCTGGCCTGGCTTAGCCACAGCCTTTGTAGGCATTTGGAGAGTATCAGGGAATGAAATCTTTCACCAGCTACCCCTCTCCCACCTCCCTCCCTCCATCCATCCCCACCCCTACATCTCATGCTTTTGTTCTTTTTCAGATAAACCAAATTATTAAAATTGTAAGAATCAGATGTTCTCTGAACTTCTCTGGCTTTTAAGGTACTATTTTCAGTTGTGGAGTTCCTGTAGAAGTTTAGAGCAAACATGAGTTTGATTGGAAGGTGAGGCCATACTGTACTCCTGATGCTTGAGGAAGGCCTGGAATATTCCACACCGACCTCTGGTCTGAATCATCATTCTAACAAGGAACTTCCACATTTTCCCAGAAGACAGATCAAGAGGAAACAGGCAAGCATACTATGAAGGCTGTGGGCCAGATATCTGGAATCATTTCTATACCCTAAGAATCACTAAGTATTAGAATGGATTGCGGAGAGGGCTCAAGAGTCTACTCTTCCGAGATCTTTCAAACAAGGATGGATAGCATCTATCTGATCTGCCGGCAATGGTTTAAAATCAGGACCGAGTGAGGATTCATGGGGCAGACTGCCACTTAAAGACCTCCTCTTTTGCAAGCGCTCCGAGTGTATCACTTTATATATCACCTATCACAGTCCCTCATCTGTTAGGTTTGAAGTTCCTTTATCCTAGAAAAGAAACAGGCAATGCTATTTTACCATTCTGAGTTCTCAGTAAATAATAATGTCATGATGGAACATAATGTCCTTATCAGTTCTCAGCTATTTTACTAAGCAAGCTACCTGCAAATCTCTCTCAACTAGAAACAGTTCTCACAAATCTCAACAGCTCTCTACAATTCATGTTCTCTGGCAGACTACCGGCACATGCCATTTCTCAAGCAAGCCATTAGATGTCTAAACAAGGCAAAGGATGAAAAGGAGAGGATAACTACCATAGAAATTCTTCCCTGGACGTGTAATTAAATGTAAATGGCGTGGAGAACAAGGGAGGAGAGAAAGTGTGCATTCATTTAACAACAGGATATATTTCCTAAGTGATTATTCTAACAACAGTAAATCCAATTAACTGTAGCATTAAGTCAAGTCTGCTTTGAAAAAAATATTTCGTTAAAAGTCAAATTACCCATTCATTCATTATTTTCCTAATCAACATAGCTTTGACTCCCTGGCGATCGGTATTTTTATTATATCTGGTAGCACCAACCACCACCTAAGCGGAAGGTAAAGTTAACAGTAGGTCCTTCCTCCTGGAAAGTACTCAAGCTTAACTAAAGGGCATGCATTTTTAGGAATCCATATGTAATAAGTAAGAACTGTGATTGTAGGTGGGGGTGGGAAACCACCTCTCAAGTCCCTCTGTGGTTAAAAATCTACTCAAGGATTTACCTTAACTACTGGGAATGTTCCCAACAAAGTAAAGGGTGACTACAGAAATCATTTGCACAGAAAATCGTCACTTTGATTTTGAGAAGATTTGTGAAGGATGAACTCCAGTCTCAGGGGAGTCCTACTCTCCGCTCCAGAAGACTGAGCAATTTTAAAATGCTTAACTGCTTTCTTCATAGAGATATCTTATCTGAAATCATGTTGGGAAATATCTGTGTATTCAGAGATACCGTTTTAAACAGCCCCGATTAGAGGCAAAAAAGTTCCTAGAAAAGTGAACCACACTGCAAACCTCTGAAAAGTTCAATCCCTGAGATTTGGGAAAGGAGGGGGGAAAAAAAGCCAAGCTGATCCTTATCAATTAATTAAAAAGAATGAAATGACAGCAGGCAAAAGGGAAAGGGGGTGGAGAGAGTTAAGGAGCAGAGCGGGCAGCGGTTCTGTGTGCATTGATTAACAAATTAAGGAGTTCCGCAAAGGGGCGAAGACACGGTGGGGATTGTAAAGCCCTCTAGTAATTCAACGCAGGCTTTGCCTCTCCTCCCTCCGAGGGAAGGGGATATCTGGCTCTGAATGGAAAAGGCTCCCCCATCCGTACAGCGCTGCTGGCGTCATCTTTGCATGCTTTATGGGGCAATGCCCAAACTTATGTAAATGTGTTCATTTCAGTCTAAGTAAAAAACTCTCATTTCTAGCACTTAGAGACCCACCAGGATAAAAAGTAGCGGCTCCACAATGTATCAGAGCTGGGAGGTTTTCAGGGATCTACAAAACGCCTTTTGATCCCTGGCCCGGTTCTCCGGCAAAACAGAGATAGGCTGACGGAAACAGCGCTTCGCCTTTCGGACCCGAGGTCACTGAGGACTTCATCCACCGGGTTTGAGCAGCCCGCGCACTCGCAGCATCTCCCGGCCTCGCTCAGTTCTGCTCTCTCGCAGCCAAAGGCTTATCTCTGCCCGACACGTTTCATTCAGAGCCCCAGAGCAGCTCGGAGTCGGTTGGAGCTAAGAGCCGGAAAACACGCACCCGGGCTGCTGTGCAAGTTGGAGACGCAGCAAGACACGCACTGGCGCGAGAAAGGGGTGGGTGGGTGGGGACTCACAGTGGAGAACGCCAGGGGCATGCAGGAGAACCCCCCCCTGGCCGAATCCCCACCGAGCCACCCTCTGGAGTTGGCTCAGCATCTGGAGCCTGCGGGCAAGGGAGGCAGCGCTCAGGACCCGGCGTAGCGCCGGGGATGTCTCCAGCACCACCAGTGACCAACCGAGTTGGGGAGGAAACAAGAGGGGAAAGCCGGCCCCAAATCTGAAACCAGCAGTGTTTGAAACGATCCCCTCTACCCTACCCACCCAAAAAAGCCGGGAGGCAGGAGCTCTGGCCAGGTCCCTGGGCTCAGCCTGCTCCCAGTCCCAGCGTGGTGCGCCCTGCCTCGCCAAAGGACACGGAGAGTGGAGCCCGGGCTGGGGGAGCCCTCCGCGTCTCTCCACTGCCCCCGCCGGCGCGAGGGCGGGCGCGGAGAAGGCGCCGCTCAGACTGTGGCGCTAGGCAAACTGCGGTCGCAGTTCTTACAAGTTTGCCCGAGCGAGAAGCGCAGGGTGGGCGCCCTGCTCGGCGATCTGCCTTCACCCCGCAGCCACCCGAGCGGCTCCCGGGCTCCCCGGCTAGGACCCACAAGAGAGGCAGAAGGGCGCAGCGAGGAGGCACAGAGGGTGCTCCCGCGTGCGCGCACAATGAGGCGGCCGAGACGCACACCTTCCCCTGCCGGAGAAGCCTCCAGAGCATCCAGCGCCTAGCGCAGGGTCCCCAGAGAGCCCTCGCGGAAAGTGAGCACCAACTCAGCAACAGGGCGCCCGGCAGCCAGGCAGCAGGACTTGTGGTCGCCCTGGGCTGCAGCCGGCTCAGGCCGCGCTTACCTGCGATCTCCTGGTAGGGGGTGTCCGCCAGACTGAATCCCTTGGCACCGTACGCCTGGCGGACCTCGCTGCAGCTCCGAGCCTTCACATCCGCCCCGGCTGGGAGGGACAGCAGCAGCCCCGACAGGGGAAGGATCACAGCTCCGATGCAAGACGGCATGGTGCAACATGCAAATCCAGCTCCGCAAAGCCCACGGCCCGTGCGCTCTTCACCTCGCCCCTCCAGCCGAAAGCCCGCCAGAGCCAGCAGCGCGCTCCTTGCCGCTGCCCAGCGTCACCCCCTTCCGCCGGCCGAGGGGACGAGCAGCGCAGCCCTCTGGACTGCGCTCAGCAAACTTTTATAAGCCTGATGGAGGATGGCAAGCCAACCAGGGCTGGCTGGGGGAGCAGCCGCCTTGTTCCGGTAGCCCCCCAGACCAGAATGGGTGCAATAAAAAAGGGGGGGAGGGGGAGGGAGAAACGTTTATAAAAATCCACCACTGGGGTTCGGAGCTGCGATCCGAGTTCCGAGAATCCGGGAGCTCTGGGAGCAGGGCTGGCGGAGTGTGCAGTGAAGGTGGGAACGCGCGCCGGCCCTCCGGGAGGGAGGCGCACAGGCAGGCGTGTGTGTGTGTGTGTGTGTGTGTGCGCGCGCGCGCGGGTCTCCGGGATGGATGCGAGTGGAGGTATGTGTTGGGGATGTACGGGATCCAGGGGAAACCTCAGCCTCACACAGACTGAGGGAGCCTGTGAGAGTGCTTCTGAAATAGGAAGAGAGAAATCCCGGAGACAGACACAGGAGGCAGGAGGGAAGGAGAAAGGAGGGGAGAGAGAAACGTGCTACACATTGCACAGCCGAAATTCAGAGGCCGAGTCGGAGGCAAAACCTGGACTGGATCCTTGTACCCTAGGAGGGGGGAAAAAGGGAAACGTTCCGGTTTTCTCATTCACTTCCCTTCCTTTATAAGGATCCAAAATGCCACCTTTAAGGCTGTAAACACGCAGTCTAGAAAGGCAAAGTATCTCCAAGTCATTAACGTATGCTGTTGAACTGTATTTTTGTGGCAGCTAAGGACGACGCAATTCCAATTGTTGCTCTTGACCTACTGGAATACAAAGCCAGACTAAAAATCAAGGGAGACCACGGGTCTTAGACAGCAGAGAACAACCAGCGCCCTAATTGTCCAACTCCTGTTTAGATTTATGTATTTTTTCAATTCAGATAGTTTGTACACATTAGAGACCATAAGGTTTTTCTTTTATTCCCCTATTCTCAATTCAACACTTCCACTCCCTTTCACTTCAAATACTCCAAAATCTTGGCTTAGAAATCATTTTGCTTAGGGTGTGAACAGGAAAGCAAAGCAGCAGCAGTACGCAGGTGCAATGAGAGGACAAGAGAAGGGGTACATGGAAGGAGACACTGGGGAGAAAGGATGTCTTCTCTCCCACTAGATGCTGGCAGGTATCAGAAAATATTTTCTTCCAATCAGGGAATCAAACCATTTCCTTCTTCCCATCTTCTCATTCACACCGAGGTTCTTTGACATGGGAGAGTAGTGTTAATTGGGGCTTGACTAATTTCCATTAATTTTCTTATGCCTGTGGGCACACTGGAATAACTTGAAGAGCAGAAAGAGATGTTGAACCCTGCAACTACTAAGGTGGTTTATTTGAAACCAAGTCAAAATTAATGCTACTAATAATTACTGACTTTTGTGTCCATATGTATATTAGGTCAACATATTATTCAGAAGTTACTGTAGAACACCACCCAGTGTGTGGCACTCTCCTGTAAGCTGACACATGAAGATGCTTTTCTGATAGTGCTATTAATAAGAAAGACTCCTGACATTTGAAACACTCTAGTGGTCACTACCATCGCAGGGATCTTCATTATAAGCTGTTAGGTATCTCTTCTTTAATCACTCCATCCTCTTCTGCTCACCAGAAACTCCCAAGTTCAATATCCAGCCTCAGTGAAGCTTAGAAATGCTGTAAAAATGCTCTCATATTTACAGGGTAGTTTTTTTTCCTTCCAGTGCCATAACTCAGAGTGAAACTGGAGACCTAAACATTTCTTCCTATAAACAAAACTTCTAGTTTAAGCATCACTTTTGCCCTCTTGATATTTGTTCTAATAGGCAGGTCTTTCTTAAACCACTGAACTTACTTTCCTCAGAGTCCAAAATTAAGATAACAAAAATGTAATCTTCGTAGAAAAAGGATCAGGACTTGGTGTAGTGAAGGCACGACATTTTGATATTTGACAACAAGGCTTCCAAACTTGTTTCTATCAGTCAGTAGGAGGTATCACACAGTCCAGAGAAAGTGAGTGATACCCACATATTCTATCCTTTTTCTCATACCAGGACTCATTGCAATTCAACATGACTTGGCAGCATATAGCAGATTATTCAATAAAAAGGGTATCTGAGGTGGAAGGAGAACCAGTAAAAGTATGATGTATGTGGCTTAAAATTATCTGAAATTCAACTAATCATTACATATTTAATATATATTCAATACAGTTATAGAGTAGTAGAGTATTATACAGGCTTCCTATACTTATATAGGACCTCAGGATTTGTGGCAAGGCTAGCATATGCAAAGAATCACTAATTCAATCAAGCACAAAGATTTGTTTAATCCCATTGGGGGTTCAAACAGCTTAGGGTAGGTGTGTGAACTTTAGTCAGACCAAAGAATTAGGTAACTGTTTTACTCCAACTCATTCCACTTGTTGGGTAATGTAGCACTGTTTGAAGAGACAAGGTCAAACATTCCAGCTAAGGGCAAGAGCAGGCGCCTAGACAATGTGTTGGAATGAGCATGGAATGTTAGAGTTTCCCAGACAAGGCCTTAGTGAACAGCAGAGTCCTCAAAAGGCTTTTGGTTGAAAAAGAAAGGTTATCTGAAGGCCTTGAGCTCCAGCTATAGCATTTATACTGTATCTAGGAGAAAAGTTAGAATATTGAAGAGCATCCTGTAAGACGAAGCAAACAAATAGATGTGAAAGGTAGGTGGGAGATATGTGTAACACGGTTACCATCAAAGATTTCAGAATAGGAAGATGGGGGGGGGGGATGAAGATACATTTTGAAGATAGAATTAGCATGATTTGGTGCATGATTCACCTCATAAGAATTACTAGATTATGATTGTGTCTCATTGGGGAAATAGGATATGTTCATTCAGACAAGACTTGCTTGAAGCTTTGGGGGCAGGGGCGGGGGAGCAGAAGAGTCACAAACCCAACTTGGAACCACGCTCCAGCCCTAGGCGCATTCACTCCTCAGTGCCCTAGAAGCCACCAGTGGGTGTCAACTGGGCAGACAAGGGACAGGAAGACGGGACAGCCCAGGGCTCTTACCAGTTTGATTTCAGGCCTATTTCTCCATTAAGGGATGGGAGGGCAGGGTGGAGTGAATGAGTCACCCCTCCAAGGGATATGTTCATTCAGGCAAGACTTGCTTATGTAGCACATTGACATCTCAGCTGGTTTTCTGCAACCCATTGAGGGCATACGATGAATGGAATTTCAGACTTTGAGAAAAAAATCTTAGACTTGAGTACCTATAGTTGACAGGCAAGTAAAGCAGCCATCAGTCATGTTTTCTTCAGTCATTCTCTCAACTCCGTTGCTATTTCATGGCTGATTGTAAATACAGTGGTCCCCAGACACAACCAAGGGATACAAAGCAACTGGTCAAGTCAGTTTGGCCCATCATTTACCCTTTCCATCGAATGGTGTCAGGGTGAGTGTAAGACCCATTTCTGGTCAATGCAATTCAAGAGAAGACTTCTGAGAAACATTTTTTTCCTCCTTGATTAAAGGAAGAGAGATATCTGGCTTTAATCTCCTTCCTTCTTAGAGCAAGATGACCATGTTAGGACTAGGAAACAAGATACTACTACGCAAATGAGAATGACATAACGGAAGCATGGATGCTAGATCCTTCATTTCCTATTTGGGTCAACCACCCCTACTACTGCCAAATTCTGGATTTTTCAATAAATAGTCAATGAATATCCCATAGTTCATGCCACCATCACTTGGTTATTCTGCAGTTTTACAAGTGAAAACAATAAAAATGCATGCAAACTATAGGAAAGACAGGATGATTTGAATTTAAGGAACAGTTGCAAACATACAAGGAGAACAAAAATTAGGAAGCATTATAGGATCCAAGTTAGGAGATTTTCAAACATGAAACAAAGTGTAGTGAATATCAAAGACAAAGAAGCTCGAGAAAATGGTACTTGGCTGGTGATAAACTTCCGGAGAAACATTTTTGTAAAGTGATTAGGTAAGATGCCAGACCACATGGAATAGTATGTGAGATGAATGGAAAGTGTGTGGAAATATCAGGTATAACTGACTGTATGGTGACTGGATGTGGAGGGGGCTGAAGGTATCAGTAGGGGAGCTTTCCAGAAGAAGCTCCCAGGACTTCTGGGAGAATGAGAGACTGGACATAAGAATTGAAGTTCAGCGTGATCTTACTTGGTAGGTTGGTTTACAATTTTTCTTATCCAAATTTTTTATCTTTTCTATAGTTTTTTTGATAAAAATACTGTTTTGAAATGAGTCATATTTCTAACAGGAACATAACATATCTACATTATGTTTCACAAAGTTAAAAGGTCTCTTATCTCATGTCTAGCAAATGGCTGTTAACAGTTTTCTGAATCGTATTGCTAATTTGAAAAAACTGAGTTAAAGACAATTATAGAATTTACTGTTCATTTGTGCAGTTGTACTGGCTTGTGAATGAGAAAGTGAATGATTTTAGCTTTCTCTTTGTATTTCTTGTATCAAAGTAGAACAAATAAGTTCAAATGAAATCTTATGAAAACAAGAGAATGGACTTCAAGTGTCTATTCCACATCTCAGCTTGGCACAAATCAAAATTGCTTAGTTAACCTGCCTCTTGAAAAGCAGGGCCTGTAATGAAAAAGCTGTCAGAAATTTAACAGCAGTAGCTCTGCCAGGTACTTGGATAATGGGAAGGTTGCTGAGTTACAAAGAAAGAAAAAGGTAAACTTAGGTGAACAATGACCAGAAATGATGAAAATAAAGTTTTATTTTCCTTTTACTGCATATAAGCAACCAAATGCTAATCGTTTCTTTAACTTTTATTGAGCAGTAAGAGTATACCTAGTACTAACACTAAACCAATTAAAATTATATCTCCAGGGTAGTTGAGAACCAGCTGGGTTGCTAATGATCTCTTGGGGGAAAACCAAACACCAAGGGACAACAGATTCTTCTTGCCTGCAATATTCTTCTAAGAGTCTGAAGCCAAAGCTATTTGGCATCAGAGAAGGGAGTCATGTGACCTACTTAATCAGATATTTGCCTAATAGTTATGACAGGGTTTAGCCAAGAGAATTGAAAGAGCTCTAATTCTTTAGTTATGTGCAGTTTTCATACATGCAAGAAACAAGTATTTCATATGTTCTTAAGCACTATTAAGTTTTGAAATACTGCTAGCAGTCCTGAAAAAGGTATAAACAAAATATGTTAAGGCATCATGATGATGTGCTATTTTTGATTTTTAATATTTATACTTTACTTTACTTCCCATTGATTCTAAGTGGAATTTTAGCCTAGAAAGACATCTTAGGTAATTAAGTACATTTAAATCTTATGTTACAAAATATTTACTTTCAAAAGTTGGTGTTAAGACTGTTCTAGGTCTTGGAACTATCTTAGCAAGTGTAGTACTCATCAAGTGATTTTTTATATCATTAGGAAAGTTTATTGCATAAGGCAGAGTTTCATTTTTATTTAGTGTCTCGCAGTATTAATAAA